CTAGTGATCATTTTTGGTTAATCTTTATTTCGTAAATTTAATTTCTAATTAGTTTCTAAATAATGATATAAGGTTTTTTATGTATTGACATGTCTCTTTGTTGTAAATATATGTATTTATCTTTATTAAACGACAGCATTACTTTTGCTTTGAGCGATTATCTGCTAAAATTTCCTTAAATATCTTCTTTAATTCATCAGCACCATCTTGATTAATTTTTTGATAGCTAGGAGTCTCCGACAATCGTTTCAGCCAGGCACGTAGTTTGGGGAATTTAAACTCGTCAATTGGCGCTACCTCATCGACAGAAGTTATCGTTGCTACACAACAGAAATCAGCAATTGTCAAATCGTCACCACACACGTACGGGTGCTCTTTCAACATTTCCTCCAAAATTTCATATGTCTTTTGTATATAGGCAATTTTATCCATAGAACAATCGGTTGAGCCATAATACAGAATGGGTTCGTAAAGGAAACGTAAACGGGCAAACAAATGCCCTGAATCGAAATGTAGACGTGCGTTCACTTGCGCACGTTTCACTAGATCCTTTGGATACAGCTTATCTTCCTTTCCATACTTGTCGACTAAGTAACCACATATGGCATGTGAATCGTATATAACATTTCCATCGTCAATTAGGGTGGGAATAGTATGCTGTGGGTTTATTTTAATAAATTCGGTCGTTAGATGTTCGCCCTTCAATAGATTAATGGGGCTGAAAATGAAAATTGTTATCATTAAAGAGTTTTTCTTTTATTTATTGCACGCAAAACATACCGTAATTCCAGCTCAACGCCAACCGCATTTGATGTCAACAAAACAGCACGCGATGGTGGACTTAGCGTAGCATAGTATAAAACTGGCTTTGCCATTTTGTACTTTCTAAAATAAATTCATTAATTTACTGATCTGCAGTGAATTCATAATTTTTTGTAATTTATTAATCTATTTCTTAACTATTTACTTATGTACAAATCGCTCGTTTACTTCAATAGTGGCTTAACTCAAAAAAGCAACAATGCTATCTGATAATCTTCACTGGGCAAAGAACTAAAATATACTTATCGCTCATTTACTTCAATAATGTCATAACTCAAAACTCGGGAAAACGGCTTTAAAGTTTTGAATTTACTTTTATACAGTGGTGGAAAAATAAATAGGGCCACTACATTTTTTTCTATTTGTCTTTTCTTTATTTAGTATTTATTATTTTTATTATATAACAAAAGGCATATAAATTCATATTTCAAACATTGTGCAAAAATTATAAAAATTCTGCAAAATTGCATCTAAATTTTCTACTTTTTAATCAGATTTTTTAGGATCTTAAAACTTTCACTTCATACTAATAAAATTTAATATGCTCTATAAAACTACATACTCAAAAAAATTCAAAAAAATCTGATTAAGCCAATCGACTTTATACGTACAATAAAGAGAGAAAAAGAAATGAACACAAAAATAGCATAACATAGGTATAATTAATTAACAATTGCATGGTAATAAGTAGGAACCAACTAACAACAAACTGCTCTTTTAATTTTATACAAGAATGAATTGAGTGCATCACCAAAAAAGTCTACTGCAGTGTTCGTTGACTACCCCATTACAAGGACCATTAATGACATAGTTTTTTGATGATTGCGTCGTGAGGAGTAGATGCAATTTTGCAGAATTTTTATAATTTTTGCACAAAGACTGAAATATAAATGTATATGGTTTTTGTCAGATAATGAGCTACACTTTTATAAAAAAATAATAAATATTAAATAAACAAAAGAAAAATAGGAAAATGTATTAAAATATTTTTCCACCACTGTATACTCCCATAGTAAAAATTAATACATATTTGAGCTACTGGTAATCGATATACAATCTATGAAATTTTCACACAACTTAGAAGAAGAGGTAGCGGTAAATTTTGCGTACTTAACTCAATATTTGTATTTTTTGGATTATGACACTATCTATTGAAGTAAATGAGCGATATGTAGTACATATATAGGACGAGTATATACTAGTATGTATTTACAAATGTATGTGTGTATGTTTATGCACACTTCAACTACATACTTCATAGCCTGAATAACACATTAATAAATGCGATAAAGTTTTATAGATCTACATATAGATTGTTATTATCACTTACTTCAAAGTTTCAAAAAGTTTATTAACACGTACGTAACTATATACAAGGTGTATTAAACAAGATGTGATTGACAACTAAGGTAGGCTCTCTTTTAAGGTACTATTATGCCAAAAAATATAAACATTCGATTAAAAATTCATACAAAATTTTTTCAATTTGACTTTATAGGATGGTTCTTCTGAGAGCAATGTCAAATTCAATCACACTTTGTTGAATACATTTTGACTATATATATGAGACCATAAGAGCTGAAGTGGCCTAACCCATTTTTTTTTGTGTGCTTCGCTACTTAAAATAGTCTCAAATGAGATACGTTTTAAAATGAAAGTCGCTTATTCTTTAATTTTAGGGTTCAGAGAAAACACCTTTTAAAATTGGAATACAAATTTTCTGCAAATGGGAAAATTTTCTTCTCAGTAAATAGGCTCACCCTAATGTACATTAATATCCTAAAAGACTGTCACAACTCAAAAAATAGTTTTTTGTGAATTTTATGCAGTATTGCTAGCTATTTTAGTTTTGAAGCTATTTTAGTTTTCTGAAAAATATTGTGTGGTGTTCGCACGACTACAGCTTTTCAATGTTGAATGTTGAGAGCCAATAAAAAAATTTTAAACTCATCTTCTTAATAATAGCTGCGTTCCAGATGCTTCACGATTTGCAGGTTTTTACAGGAAGTCGTTCCAGGTGACCACCTCCCATAAGGTTTATTAATGGAGAAAACAGCTGTTCCTGCAAATCGTGAATTTCGTGAATATCGTGAAGCATCTGGAACGCAACTAATAAAGTTATCTGAGTTGTGACAGGTTTTTAGTAAACGAGCGATATGTACATATCGTCGTTTAAAATACAAAACCGCGAATGAGCAAAATGCAAAACCGCGTATGTGAGGTTGCATAAATTATTTTCTAGAGAGTAAAAACACTTATATTTCAAAATGGTTCTATTTTTTATAAAGCAAACGCATTTCTGGCTAGTATATTTCAAAACGAATGGTTAAAGATTGAGCCAAGAGCTTGTGTAAGCATTTCCAATTTTTGGCAGCAAATGTCAGTTACGCGGTTTTGCAGAATGACCATATGCGGTTTTGTACTTTAAACGACGATATTTTTTTTACTAACAGGTAATTAACGCTTTTATATACATACATACATAAATGCATATTAACAGTCATATGAATCAGTGATGGACAAAATCGTATTGAGTAAACACAATGATTTAGTACACAAATATATATCTGCGACTTCATTATACGAAAATACTAAATACAAGAGTATTTAATATTTATCTTCCAAATGTATTTAAACATTTTGAATGTCACTAAAATCCAAATATGATCGCATTCCCATAACTAAATACTTTAAGTGCATGTACATATTTACACAGGACTAAATACATACTAAGTATGAAAGTATTTTGTTACTTTTGCAAAACTTCTTAGCATTTCTGGCTTCACTAAATACTGTATACAAATAAGCTCGTATTTATAAAAAAGAACAACAGTTGACACTACGTGAATTTGCAAAAGGTTTGGCCAAGCTTTTCCTTCGACTTGTGGTGCGCGCCAATGATTCAATAATTTGATGTTTTTACTTAATATATGCAAGTATTTCCGTATTTAGTTTTCAAAGGGATACTTCGAGCCGTAACCGCCAAAATAACGTAAGCGACATTTTTTTCAAAATTTTCTTTTTGATGCAGAAATGTATCTAGATGCTCCAGGAATATTTCTGCATCAAAAAGAAAATTTTGAAAAAAATGTCGCTTACGTTATTTTGGCGGTTAGGTCTCGACTTTAAATACAAAAGTTGTTAACTATGCCCATCACTGATATGAATTTACATATACATATGTTTACGTACTTACATGCATACATTCATACATATGTATGTACATGGGTATATGTATGTATATACAAATAAATATACGGACAAATCTATTATAAATCTCTGAGTATACAATTAGTCCCCCTTTTAAAAGTGAGACAACGCAATTTCTGTTGGACTTTTTTTTATTTCAAGCACCTGTCCATATAATTCCATACGCATTTGATAACCTAATACCGGTAGACAGTGTATGAATATGGTTTAATAAAAACAGTGGAAAACTTTTGCAAATTATACACTTGAATGCTTACTGTCGTGGGAACCAAAAACCACTATTATTATCTGCAGCGCTTTTCTGATATTCCTTACTCAATCAGCACAATGGAGAGACTGAACTTCTATGTATCAACACAATCCCCATGCTTCAATTCTGCCAAACCCTAAGTTACTTACACACTTAACGTTTTATGCACATTTAATAGTTTCTCCGAGAGCGATCAACTAAGTATGTAGTAGTTACATACAAAATATTATAATATATGTACATACATATATGAGTGTATACTGTGATCGGAACGAGCGATAATAAATACAACCGGCGCAACATTTCGCACACCATCTTCAAAAGAGGCACAACTCAAAAAAAAAAAAATATTCTATTCGATTACTCGGAATTATCGCCAATTAATGCAAATATTTTTTCTTGATTTATTTATATTCTTTAACTAGAAAACTACTGTTATACCTGTTTTTGTATTAGTTAAATCTGTATCTGTATCTGATCCACAGTGGGAGAAATCACGAAATAGCTGGGCATATACAGTAAAAACTAACCTCGAGGCTTCAAATTTGGAACACAAGCTTCTTCAGTGAATATTAGTATCAGGTATTAATATAAATAAAATATATAATATAATATTATAAATAAATTGTCTCTAGCAAAAAAACAAAAGCTGATAGAACCTTCCACTTAGGCTTAAATTAAAGCTAGAACTCTCGACTACGGTCCCTGAAAATACTAACCCCACATCTTCACCCAAAGGTCACTTATAGCCATTTATTGAACAGCAAAAATTGACTTTAAGAAGATTTTTTTCCAATATTTTTTTTTTTGTTCAATAAATGACTATATGTGGCGATCCAGTTAAGGTGTAGGGATGTATCAGGGACAGTAGTCGAGAATTCCAGCATTAATTTAAGCCTCAATGAAAGGTTTTATTACGTTTTGTTTCTTTGCAGGAGCTTCTCAAATATCTGGAACTGATGGAAGCTTTATACATACGTACGAATTCGTAATCAGCACAAAAAAGTCTGTCAAAAACAGCTTTAACATTTGCCGCACCAAGGTCAGTATTGCCCTTTGTAAGCTTTCCACTTTCCACACAACACAATTGGCACACAATTATTTTACCGTCTGTTCAATCGTGAATTACAACAAAATTTGGACGAATCTGGTTACTTTCTTTTTGAATTCTTGAAGTATGTGACAACTTTTTCAACCATGAAATAAAAAGATATATATATTTGTTTAGACAGCTTTACAATTAATTTTTAGATATATGTATTTTGTTATGTAAAAAATTTAAATTTAATGACTTAAATTATTTCAGATACCGTCAGAAATACTCCCGATCTCGCAAAAAATAATAAGTACTTTAAATACCATTTCAAGATCACATTTCCGAAGCACAGTTTCAGAGCCAATGTTTCCTTGTTTGTAACTTGTATTTCTCTTCTGATGTTAAGTAAAACTAAACCATTTACTTCAATCTTTATTCCCCAGTTTAACTTCGAGATTATGATTTATGCTTAAGAAGGAGCGTTCAGTGGCAGCAAGTGTCACAGGAAGTTTTGCGTCTTTTTGTACGAACCGGTCTCGAGCCCTAACCGCCAAAAGGGCGTAAGCGACAAAAAGTAAATTTTTCAATAGCGTTCTTTTTTATTAACACTGCCATACTGATACTAACGTGAAGGTCAATGAACAAGGTACGTTTGATGTTAGATATATAAACCTGGGTGTTTTGTTTTCCCATCTTTAATGGAGCAAGTAATTTTGTCGATTACCCTCTTTTTTCCGTCGCAAAAAACAGGCTACAGCACGCAATTGTGGCGGTTAAGCCAAAAGATACATATGTATATTAAAAAAAATAAATCTTTGCATTAACAAAAACCATTTTGTAAAGGCATCATTTCTGTTATTCTTGTTGTTTAGAAAACAACTGTTCAACACAAATGTATACGTTATTTATTAAAATACCATCTTCTAATATATAAAAATCTCGTGTCACGGTGATTGTGGTCAAACTCATCCGAAACGGCTTGAACGATTTGCATTACATTTTTTGTGTATATTTAGTAGGTATGAGAACAGGTATATTTTATACCGCAAAGGAAGGGGGCGTGGCACATCCCATACAAACCGAATTTTGCATACTGCATATCCCTGGTAGATATCATGGAAGAGTACTGGAACTTGGTATGGAGATATATGAAATCAATCGCATACTCATGGAAAAAATGCGGCATATTGGAAAAGGGGCGTGGCACCTCCCATACAAACCGCATTTTGCAAATAATATAACTATAACCAAATCATATGTTGAGCGAAATATATTTAGCGGTCTTCTTTTTGGATGCAGATTTACAGTTTCATCATCACGATCCCATTTGACTTATATTCGAAATATGTATTGGCATGGGCGTAGCCAGGTAGGGGCAGGGGGTGCTATGTGTATTGGATTTCTGCAGAACAAAGATACTCACCCATTTTGAAATTGCCACCAACAGATCATGAAAGAATTTCAAGAACTTCTTCACGGACATACACTTTCGTTTGGTTATTTAAGACGGCAATGGAAATATGCCTTCGGACAACCACCAAAGCGTAATAGTAGCAGATAAATGTGCCACCGAAACCCCCAATACCCCTACCTGCTTTCGCCCCTGAGACTAATACTACAAGGATGAAAGTAAAAGTGTTTCCATAGATGAAGAGAAGGATAACGGCAAAGGTGAAAACAAAAACAAGGTTGCTTAGAGCTAAAGGCAACAATTAAGGTCAAGGTAAAATTGAAAACAAACAACAACATGACATGATATGATTTCACAATGCATGGTATGACATCCTATCACATCACATAAAATCACATCACATCGCATTACCTGACTTCGTATCACATGATATCTTGCCACATTCAAGACTATTGCTGAATTCATCGTAGTGCGATTATTGTGAAGCCTACAATAATGCATATACTTTGAATACGTAGATTTCACGAAAATCGGACTACGATGGATTCTGCGATAGCCCAGGATAAAATTTATAATTATTATAAAAATATTTACATATAATCAAAAATAATTATTATATGTTTGTACGTACATATGTACGTATTTATTTTTAAAATCTATGAAGTTTTAATTATGGTCTACCGTCTTCATTCAGGTAAAAAAAAAAATTACTCGATCAGTCGAGTCGCCTTCGGCGGACGTTTTAAAGCGGCTGGTAATAAGAAGTCGATATGATGGCGATATTACCGGCAATAAATTTGTTGCCGAGAGCAAAAGATTTCTTATTGCAGGCAGCAAAAATTGTCTGGGGGTTTTACCAAGCTGGGTTTCGCGAGAAAACTATTTTCGTCATTTCCATATGTATTATTAAGATATCAATACACACTCTGTTTTGCTTCAATTTAATATGAACATATGTATATTGCACATGCATATATACGTACATTTATTTTTTTAGCTATTAAGGAATATCAACAAACGGTTACATATTAAGTAGTTGATACGAAACATATTTAATGCTGCTGTGAGCAAGCTTTCATTTAATCTCTTAAATAAAATAAAATGTCCATTAATTTTTCCTTACAATGATCTAACAAGCATTATCAGTGTGACTTCGACATTTACGCTTATTGATCTAAGGCATTCATCAATCGGCTTGGGATATATTTTGGGCGGCACTAATTAAAGTGTCATGTATATCCTTCGCCGACTGCACATGTACTCGCACAATATTGAGATAGGTGGAGTAGGTCATGGGACCACCAGGATTTTCTTGCATATATGGCTCCATACGTGCTGCTGTGACTGCACTGGGTAGATAGTGCTGTGCGGATGATAGTTGCTGCATGCATTGAATCGCTGTTTTCAGATGCAATTCAATTTGATCGCAATAAGCATAAAAATCTTCTAAATGCTTTTCAAAGCGTCCTGCATGAGACGCTGCATCGCGTTTAAGATTATCGGCTAAGTTATGTTCTTGCAATGCAAATGCTCCTGTTCTTAGCGTAAGAAAAAGTGATTCGCGCAATGGAGAGAGTAGGCTTTTGACTTTTAAAATGTTGTCCAGTTTTTCTGCTTGTTGCTGCTGCTGTTGTTGTTGTTGTTGTTGTTGTTGCTGCTGTTGTTGTTGTTGCTGTGCAGCGTTCGATACTTGTGATTGCATTTGGCCTTGCATTTGTTGTTGCGGGGAAGCTTGCATCATAGAAACCGGCGAAACTCCAGGCTGCATCATTGGATTTTGACCACCAACACCGGCGATGTTCATCTGTTGCATGCTATGCATATTCATATTCGGATTCATGCTGGAATAGTTATATTATTTATATAAACGTTATTGGATGCAGTAAAAAATGACGCTTGACACCTTGCACAAAAATTTGTTTATAAAAAATTTAAATGTACTAGAACATCTGTTTTAAGTAGAGATGTACATATCTCAATTTTGGTTCAATTGGACTTAAACGGCAACGCTAAACTCGACTATTGGTATTTTCCAACGATATTTTATTGTTCTAAAAACTTTCGTAAATCGATTTTTGATAAAAGTATTGTTGGATGGGTTTGCAGTGCAAAAGCTTAAAGTCTGTTTCGACGTAACCGAAATTGTGTTATTCCGACACTCAATTACAAATTGATATTGTAATTGTTTTCACGCACATCTTAATTTCAATTTCGATGACAGTTTATTTATTTGTTTTGCTAGTTTTGTTTTGCTTGGTTTATTTGTTTTGTTTTTATTTGCTTGTTATTGGTGTTTCTTTATATTCTTTTAACTCATTAATAACACACATTGAACAAAAATTGAAATTGAAAATTGAGTATGTGCAAAGAACGTAAATCTATAAGAGACTGCATGTTATAATTGTAGCGGGTATGAACATCAGGAGCGTGCCTTCTCTTTTGCCCAAATACGTTTTAAGATTGGATGAAAAGAGAAGGCACGCTCATGATGTTCACGCTCGCTACAATTATAACGTGTTGTCTTTTCTTATAAATTTACGTTCTTTGGTATCATAGAACCGACCATGATGAAAACCTTTAAATATAATTTATTTATCATGGAACCGACCATCTTGGGATTGAGTTACCACCATTCAAGAATGATACAATACAAGATTGCGCCAATGAGAGAGGATTTTTGAGCGTAATTTTTGCGTGGCGTCATCTTGGTGCAATTGCGAGAGAGAAATGCCAAAACGCATGTAAAAATATGTAAACAATGCAAAATAATGTGTTAATTTAATTATTACATAGCCCAATTTTGCAGGAATCAATAATTATACAAAGATTGATTAATTAGGAACAGGGAGCAATAATTTTGGACATGTAGCCCTTTAGATAATTACGATTTTTAGCACATGAAAAAATGGATGTATTAACAGTGTTTGCAATTTCATGTAGACCAAAAGGAAGGTGTGCAGCAAAGTGAATTTTTGGACTTGCCATTTTTAAAACCCAAGCAGAGTGCATATTTATATTTGTGGACGGTAGCCAACCACCATAAACTCCACAGCTGTTGGAAATACCTCCTACTACAATTCGCCAAGGAAAGGCCAACATAGTTCCATGTAGAAGCTCATAGCTTACACACATAGCACAAAGCGCGATTTGGTGTTTAATGCATGTCCTCCCCGGCAGAACTGATTCCACTTTTTCGCCAGGTTTGCGTCCGGAGGAAACGAAAAAAAAACGTATATAGCACGCTTTCCTTTTGTTTACACTTTGCCACTGCACATTTCATTTTGCTTTTTAATGTCTCAATAATTGTTTAAAACCACCCAGAAATATTAACGCACAAATATTAAAATTGTTATTTGGTTTTTTCGTATGCACTCATTCAACAATTGCACCAAGATGACGTCACGCACACAGCTCATTCTGTCAAAATCACAAAGAGCGGATTAGCGGTACCGCGATTGGCGCAACCTCTATTTCTCTCAATCGTGACTACCATTCATCAATAGTGGTTACAAATTGAAACTATCGATACTATCGACTAGGAATAATCCGTCACTATTCTTTTTGTTTTAAAATCATTCGCGGTAAAATCCTTGTCATTTCAGTTGAATTTTCCTTGAACTTGAATAAACTGCAGAAAGACACAGTGTAGAGGAAAGCTTTGGAAATAACATAAAATGACTGATTACCTCAAGAACGAACTTGAAAAGGCTCAACAATGCCTCTTGGAAACTTATGAATTGGCTACTACATATGGCGACAATGGTAACAATACTTACATACATACATATGCAAATTTAAATAAGTTTATTTCTATGCAAATCCAAATAAATGTATAGAGGAAAAAGATACCAGCAAGTATTTGCAACTTATGGAACGCATATGCCAAATGCGTGATGATTCCATTAAAAACGAACGCGCCTTGCAATTGGCTATGGCAGAACGTAGCATTCTCGATTTCGAATCGGCCTTTCAGCGGGAATTAAACGGAAATAGAAAAAGCTGCCAAGCTATAAAAACTAGAGAATATAAGGTCTTTTGCGATCGTTTAGAGGAAATTGCTAATGCTGGTAGTACCTCGAGTGGTGCCGGTGGAACAAGACAGTCTAACGCGTCTAAAGACGGTGGATTGATTGAAATGGACATGCACGTCAACTTAACTGATCCCTTAACAAAAAGGCAAATGGTGGATCCCGTAAAGAATACCATCTGTGGTCATGTCTATGAAAAGGGCAGTATGCAAGACGCGTTAAGAATAAATCCCAGGCTACGGTATGTATGAAAGGCTTATTTATGTGTAGAATTTATAATTTTCCCCATTTCCAAGATGTCCTGTTGCTGGCTGCGGAAATAACCGGCCTGTTAATGAGGCTCATTTAAAACCGGACAACGCATTAAAAAGGCATCTTCAGCGTCTAGCTGATGGCGAAGAAAACAGCGGAGACGAAATGTAACCTTAATGGGAGTTAGTTGATATCTAGCTTTTAACATCTGAATTCTTTTATTTTTCACAAGTTTTTATTCGTTAATGTTTTCAAATAAAGAATGGTATTATATTGTATAATTTATTGTAGTGCTTCCTTAGAGGAGACGTAGGCGACAGTTTGGTGCGCCGCATTGACAATATAAGACCTTACCGGGTACAACACCAACTTCATAATTATAATTCCAAGTCAATTCTGTACCAGCCCGAATATTGGTGGAAGAGAAAAATGCTACCCACGGAAAACGCAAGTCATGTGTATCAACGAAGACGTTTTGAACGAAAAGATTGGGAGAACAGGAATGCTGTGAAGAAAATAATTAGTGCGGGGTGAAACAATGGTTAGTAACTATTAAAATGGTAATCATATTACGTTGAAGTATCGTCCCAGATTTCCAGTAATTTTAGCATCCATAACATAGCATGCTTCATCCTTGCCAAAGAGAGCACGTATTGAGCTAATAACACCAATAGTTAGTTTAAAAATATCACATATTCTTAGAATCATTTGCTTACGATTCCCGGCCGGAGTCCTCATTCATATCCGCATTCGGATTAAAATTAATTACTTGACGTTCTTGAGAATCTTCGTCGGTGTTATTTCGTGTAAGTCTCTGCGCTTTATTTTTAGCGCGGGTTAAGAAGGACTTGCTAGGTGTAAATTCGTCGTCATCTTCTGGATCTGGTGCATACGATTCCTAATAACATTTACATAGCATAATATTAATACATTATAACATGTTTACAAACCTCTTCTTCTTCAACCTCTGGTGGCTCCACATCAGATTCGTAGCCCTCTTTTATTTGTTCGGCTACTTCTATATAATCTAATTCTGCAAAATATTCGTCACCTGCGTCCAGACCACCCTAATGAAAATAAGGAAATGACTCAAGTGTTACAATAATGAACCCGTGATGGGACTTACCTCATTCGCTTTTGCTTCGGTTAGTAGGTGACCAGCATAAATACATACAAAGCTGCCTCTGGGCACATCATTAATGCATCGCAACCCCCAGCCACGGTTCGATGTTTTAAATACTTGCAACTTCATAGCTAATGGCTGCTGTGCAACGCGATTTAAGCAATTGGACTTGCATTTACATCTAAATAAACATAGTTCTCAAATATGTACACTATGATCTTAGACACAAACATTATCATACCTTGAGTTACATTCATAAATTCCTGTTGGTACGTGTTCGTATAGACGTTTATATTGGTAACCAATTTCTGCCATTGGTGTATTTGGATTGCCATACTTGGCGCCTGCATAAGTTAATTGCCAGCATGAGCACTTAGCTTTGTCCTGAAATTAGATTGGAATTTTTTTTAATTTTTATAAGGACTTCCCTTTTGGTACATACCGAACAATCGCCGTCGCAGTCACAACCAACTAAAAACTCTGAATCCAGATTTATATTTACTCCGTCTGTAGGTATACGTTGGGCTGCGTATTTACATTCAGGTGGCAAAGTATTGTCGTAGTAATTAACCAATGGTATAGCCATTCGCTCCTGCCCGCCAGATATATCACGTTTTTGTACTATCGCTGATTCAATAACATACTCTGCCAAGCAGCTAGTTTCATGGTGGAAGTCAAAATTATCCACATTAAGTATATTATTCGTTGCACGTAGATAACGACGAACTTCCTCCATACTGCGCATAATTTTGCCGCACGGACCACGGTAGGCAACTATTTTTTTGTTCTTCAGACGTAGTATCGGACGTTCCCATCCAGAAAGTAAAGGTTTCGATAATGGACTGTAAGCGCTCAGATTGTGTGGTATTTTAAATAGACATGAAGTCGAGCACTTATGTGGACGATAAGTTAATGGTGGTAAATCCCGCTTAGCAGTGTAGTAGACAACCTACAAGAAACAATAGTAATAATTGTATCCCAACTACTATTAATACAGTAGTCAAACTTACTTTTCCTTTCGGTTTATTTTCATCTTCAAGATAAATTGTAGAATTGTTCAGATGCCGCACTGTTGGTACCGATGGAGCTTGAGGCACCGTATTAGATGTACCTGATGTCGAATCTGAGGATAAACGGCTGACGCTCTTTTTGGCAACTGCGCGTGGTTCATTGGGGGGATGCACGTTCACGTTCACGTTCCTGTGCTTGCTGTTGCTGTTGTTGTTGCTGCTGCTGTACTGTAGTGGCTTCCTCATCAGCAGTGTAGCGTATAAATGGTTCGGTACGCTAATTAAAATTTAAAAATTAAATTAAATTTATTAATTAGTTTAAGTATCTCAAACTAGATATTTACCCTAGCTAAACGAGGTAATGGCAGGGTGTCCTTCTGTAGTGTTTTCTGGTACTCTTTAAATACTGGGCCAAGTCGCAGTGATCCACGATATATCCATTCCGTATGACTTTTGGGGCCTTCAAATTGCATTTGTATTAAACTGCAGTCTATATCTACTACCCGAGCATATATCCATTTGCCATTGGATTCTGTGGTCATGCTTTGTCCTTTCTGTGTCTGGACCATCGGTCGATTTATTGAATACTGAGTTAGATACTTTTGGATAAATTCTCGAGATGCGGGATGAACATCTTCCCACACATGTTCGGAAACATTGCATACCAAACGAACATCTTTATGTGAAACATACTGAGTGTATCCATCATCATAGAATATCAAGTACCTAAAAATACATATAGCTCGTAAATGCGGTAGTAGCTATGCACCTATACATATATGCGACCCAATTACCTGTATTTGTTGTTTGGTTTCAAAGGCTCAGCAATGATTCCCGGATAAAAAGCGCTTTGTATCATCATCTTTTCTTTGCCTCGCGACAACGAAGTCGCATCAAAGTAGGCAATTACTCTTGATCCTTCAAATAAATAAATTGTGGAACTTTACTACTTGATGCATTGATATGAGAATGCATTTACCTATTGGAAGACGAAACTTAGGTGGGTCATAATATGCCAAATGCTTTGCTGAGACGGTTTTTACCATCTGATACTGTAACTTTAAAAATTTTACTTTATAATGTGGCACCTTAGAATATCCACCTAAAAGTCCGGTCGAATCAACTTGCTCGACTACTCTACAAGGTACCCAGCTGGCTATTGCTTTATTCTTGACCGCGTAATATACTTGATTAATTTCTATAGCCGGTCGAGATATTTCTCCAACGGGCGGGCAAGACTAAGATAAAAACAATGCTGGGATTATGCTGAAATAAAATCAATATGTATCAGTACTCACAGTCACTTCTGGGGATGCGTACGGTAATCCTGTATTTAAATCCAAAGGTTGAAATTGCCTTAATCGTATTTTGGGACATTGATAGAGTGAGCTGTACATTTGATCAGCTCTTTTCTGTAATGAGCGCAACAACTCATCATTTAAGCTTGATTCTTCTTCTAATCTGCGTAAACGCGTCGACAAAATCGTCTTTGACCAAGTAAGTTGGTTTTGAATTTCCAAATTTTCAAGTACATTTTTAATAGAATTTTGCAGTTCTGCTTCGATTAGATCCAAATTTATTTTTGAGAATGATCCTTTAGCTAACAGAATAATAAATATTTAAAATTTAAGTGTAAATGTTTAAGTATTCAATTATTTTAATTTCTAAGATATAGAGAACTTAGTTTTGTGTGTTTCTTCATATTCGGAACCTCCAAATAACGGATATGTATGGAAAATTTCGATAAATATATCATATGAACAAATTAATCTTACTGGCTTGAACTTGAGGCGTCGTAGCCGGTTCATCATCGTCATCACTGCTATCTGTAATTTCCACGAATTCAGGGCCTTGCACGGCGATATTTTTTAAAAGTAAAGGTTGTTTTGTTTTTAGTAGACCGCAGTACTCCTAAAAGATAAATAAAACACAATTTGGAAAACCAGATGTGGATATATGTGCTATGAAACCAATTGCTTACCTCATAAACATCGACGGCACTGTCGTAACACTCGGAGCAAACGTATTGCTTTTGGCTACGCCTTTTCTTTACTTTGAAGTGACTTAAAGCGAACTGCGGGGCTAGGAAAAATTGCTTGTGACGGCGTGGACAATCATGGTTTATGCATTCCTGATTGTAAAATATTTCATCTGAAGTATCTTCGAATCCACATTCTGCAGCATCGGATATAGGTTGCTTTGTTTCTGGTCGTAATGCAGTTTCTGTTAACAGATCTGGCTTTTCTGAAACCGTTTCTACTTGTGGTAAATCCTTTATTTTGGCATCGTCATTTGATTCTACTGCTTTATATTCCTTATCAGTATCACCAGTACGTTTTTGTTCAGCTATGGCTGGTTGTTCTAACGTCGCAGTTTGGTCGTCTTTTTCTGCACTTGATTTATCTTTTTCGACAATACTAAGTCCGGGTTGGTCTTCATCTTCATCGTCGTCTATCTCAATTACAGGAATATACGATGCACTTCTTGTCTCAGTAATTTCTACATCCGGATCTTCTTCCTGGTGTTTTGCATCTTCAATATCATCTTCTATTTCAATCACATTCACAAGATCAGATTCGCATTGATCAACTTTATCTGCAGCCAAATTTTCATTTTCCTTGATTGGCTCTGAGCTTTTTTCCTTTTCGCAGGACTCATTTTGCGAGACGGGAGGCAATTCATTTGCCACTTCCACATCTTTTTTGACGTCGCTTTGGTTGTCGTCTGTATTTTTTGTTTGGATAGAAGTCGTAGGAGCATCAACATTAATTTCATTAGGCGAGGGCGGCTTTTCATCGATAACAAGTGGCAATGATTCTTGACTATCATCATGTCCTCCCTCAAGTATCTCAGCATCAAGTTTTTTACTTTCAGTATCTCCGGATTTTGTTAAAACGTCATTGTCTACTTCCATTGGCTCCTCTGTATTATCGTTTATTTGTTTTGATGGTACTTCAGTTAGCGCAGCACCCAATTCCTCATTATTATTTTTTAAAGGATTGACTGGCTCGGTAGGCGATGGAGTGCCAGATATATGTTCGCCTTCTTTATTCGTTATTTCCATATCAGTAAGTGGATTTTTTTCTTTTTCTTGTGTGCTAGATAATATATTTATATCTTCCGTTACTTTGGCTTCGACTACGTCGAGCTCTTGCTCGGCATCCGCTTTTCCAGTTTCGGCTGATGCACTTTCCTTTTCTACTTCACTTATGTCCATTGTTTTTGTAATCGAAGTACTTCCACTTGATCCTTCCAATGGCTCATTGTGACAATCGGAGTGCTGATCGGCATTTTCATGAATGACCTGGGCCTCATCCACATGCGTACTCACCGCTTCGCCATTTTTTTCTACGTGGATTGCGTCCAAATCCACTTCACTAGATGATGCTCCAACATTGCTAGTTTCTTTTACACTTAGCTCAATGTTATCAGACATTTTAAAAGCGCACGGAATTTTCTGTATATATTTTTAATTGTTCTAAGCCCAATTGCATGTAGTTCTGCAAAATTAACAAGCCGCATAAACAAAAGATTTTTAATAGTTGCCATATCGTGTGACTTATTTGTAAAGTCAAACCATTCCATACACTATAAAAAATATCCTCACCAAACTTTTAAAATTTATTACTGCAACTATTATTTGTACATGCTAATTTTATTGAAGTGAAATGTGAAGTGATAAATAAATCTATATTTCAGAATTTAAGTTTATTTTAAATTGTTAGAAATATTTTCATAAAACATCCACACACAATGACTTGTGCATATATCGCTGCTGACAGTTTAGTAGTTTGCAAAAATTCTTCAGTAGTGATGGCAAAAAAATAACAATCAGTTAATTAATCATTTTATTAAGTCAGCTTTCAGACACGTCAAGTCTTGCTTTCAAGTCTGCTCGTTCCAGGCGAAGGAGGTGAGCAGAGAGGGGAAGGGTACAGATAGCTCCGTACCATCAATTCGTTTCAAGTTTTCTGGTCTCTTTGGATCTTTTCGTTGCTTTCCATTTAAAGAATCAAGAACTTGAATTCAATAAAAATTTACTAGTCTGGAAGCAAATAGAAAACACAAAATGCTTTCAAGACTTGATGTGTCTGAAAGGGGACTAAGCCCAAGCCAAACAAATTAATTGCGATAATTGAGATATAATCGATTAATCGAATTTTTGAAGGAATTTGCAGTGGGTATTCACGAAAACACTTTTCCACATCGTACAGTTTCTTAAGTAAAAACACTATCAGCTGATTGCCAAAAAATGCCTACAGCTGAGATCACCTATTTTTTGGCATGTGCTCTTATCTTATACAACTTCTTTCATTTCTATAACAATTTCTTTTATTTTTACTACAATTTATTCATAATACACTAACACACTGAACCAAAACCACCAATCCCACGACAGTCGGGTCTACGTAACCGGAACGACCCAGATTTATATTTGACCAAGGACTGTCACTCCAGCAACACTCCCCAAAAACTCTTTGGGCAATTTGTATGCTGCTACAACAACAACAACAACAACTAACCAAAAACACACCTACAGCCTGCCAGAAAAAACGGTTAGAAGAAGAGTAACTTGATTTATGGAACTGTACGGTGCCTTTCCATAATACATTTTTTAATTTTCTTTTTAATTAGCCACAAAAGTTTTGATAAGCGTTCTGTTGTTAAGAAGTTGCGTTTTCGGTAGCAGTAGCACCAACTTTTGAAAAAAGCCGCTCAGCCGAAAACGATGTATCAACTAATTTACAATATTTTTTCCGCAAGTCCGAAAAGTTTTGGGTAAACAGTTTTCATTTCCTCCCTAGCGTCGATGATATTCGGCTTTAGTTCTTAGACTTGATAGATAAATAAAAACTTATTTCTTCATGTGGGTGATCCAACTCATCATCTTTTCGCCTTCGTTTGGGTATCAGATTTATGAGGGGTCCAAAGATCGAACTCATTTTCTACTGATTTTAGTGAAGACTTGCTACCCGTTTCCATAATACGGCGTTCGCATGAGGCGATTTTCCAGGCAATTTTAGAGGCGATTAGTTGAATCAAAAGTTGGCTGCCCCCAACTTCATTGGAAGTGATTACTGAGACCAATGCTAACGGATTTTCAAAATAAATTTTTTTGAATCTCGGGTAAGGATGATGCAGCTAGCAAGAAAGAATATTCAAATTCATATTTCTTGAAAATATTTTTATGATTATTTTAAAATTAATCGATTAATATTCGATTAATGAAGCAAAAAACTACGATACCATAAATTGGACAAAAGTGATCGATTAATTTAATCGAAGGATTAATCGCACCCATTTCTATGCTTTAGTAGAGCTGTTGAGTTTTAGCGCGTCAATTTTAATGAAAATACCACATAAATTGAGAGAAATATTAGAAGCAAAGTTAAAACAACGCAAGTCCCAACCTTTTTTAAGCGACTAGTGCGTATTTTAGCAGAAAGGTCAATTATAACAAACGAAATTTCAGCTGTGAAAAAATTGATGGAGTAGATGTGTGATTTCAGAGTTGCAGTTGTGTTAATTTTTTTAAGTTAAGCGTGCGGTTTTTTTTAGCTATTGGAGCATATATATACATACATAAATTTGTGTCGAATAGTTATTTATTTATATAAATGCCTAAATACCTCTGGATTTTTAACAAATTTCCATGTATTATCTAATTAGATTCTAATAAGCACACCAATTAGGTTTCCTTGTCGCAGCAACTCTACAGAAAACTCGTAGGTGCAGCAGTGCGCTATGTATGCTAGGGCAAAATCGATTTGCAACTGTCAGAATTTTTCTGTTTATCGATTTTGTGATAAGAGAGTTTTGGAAAAAATTTTCTTCTTGAATGAACAGCAGAAATAGACCCGCAGTTTTATAGTCCCGATCAGTTTTAACGTTGAAGTGGTGTTCGAGCGTGGAATAGTGCACTGGATTTAAACAATGAATTTAGACTTTGCGAAATTGTGCGGCAAGCACGGTGCCATATATGAGGCATATTACAAACAGGTATGGCGCAGGGGTAGACATGGGAAAGGGTGTTCTGTTGCGTATAACTAAAGTGTGCAGCGGATACGCCTATTGATTTTTACTTTTTTATCTTTCGAAAGTTAATTAATGTTTGTATTCTTGTGCTTATTCTGCTTAATTGGGAAGATTGACCCTAAAGGTTCTGGTGCTATAGAAGCGATGACGGCAGCGAAATTTTTGAAAAAATCTGGTCTTAGCGATGTGGTGCTGAGTCGGATTTGGGATTTGTCAGATCCCAATGGCAAGGGCTTCCTGGATAAACCCGGTTTCTTCGTTGCATTAAAACTAGTGTCCTTGGCTCAAGCAGGGCAGGTTATTAATATGAGCAACATTTATAATGAAACGCCGAATCCACCAAAAGTCGTAAGTAGCCGACCAGTAATACATATACATACATATTTAGTAACATTAGTTGAAAATATATGGCCAAATAGGTTACACAATCGCAGTTACTGGAACAATGACGTCGATGTATTCTGCATTTTGTATTTTCGGGAACTTTTTTTTATCAATTGTCCATTAAAAATGTTTGCCCGAAATAAGTAAACTACCTTGACGACATGCATTTTGGTGTGTATGTACATACCAAAATATGTGTACGAGTACTTTATTGATAATTTTCAATTATATATTATAAAATACATTTAAAGCTTAACGTTTTAAAAATGTACTTTATTACACAGGGTGATATACCGAAAATCATGCCACCTCGTATTCAAACAGTGCCGGTTTCTAGTGGTGGCATTACAAGTGGTGATTGGTCCATTAGCATTATAGACCGCTTAAAGTATGAACAACTGTTCGAGACATTAAAACCTGTTAATGGAATGCTGGCTGGGAACAAGGTCAAAGGCGTACTCATGGATTCTAAACTGCCAATGGACACGTTGGGAAAAATCTGGGATCTAGCCGATCAGGATAAAGATGGCAACTTAGATAAGCACGAATTCATCGTGGCCATGCATCTGGTCTATCAGACATTAGAGAAACGTACTGTACCAGATGTGCTACCACCTGAGCTGCGCAAGGCAGGCGCTGGCGGAGGTCCGCCTCCAAAACCAGCTCCCCCGGCTGTTACAAGCAATAATGCTGCTATGCCTCGCGCTCCCAGTGGCGAAGGATTTGGCGATGGTGGTTTTGTAGCAAACTTTCCTAAAGATATAGCGCCTCCACCAGCTATACCACCGCTGCCTGCGATACCAACAATGACACGTGTTCCACCAGTCGGTGCTAGTGTTGTGCAAACACAACCACTTATATCCACAGATCCGCTTATACCTATTGGCGCGCCCCCTTCAGTGACAGCAAGTGCTGATTGGGTTGTTAGTCCAGCTGAGTTGAATCGCTTTGAAATAACATTCCGGGAATCAGATCGAGACAAAGATGGGCTTGTTTCGGGACTCGAGGTGAAGAATGTGTTCTTACAATCGGGAGTACAACAACATTGCTTAGCGCACATATGGTGAGTATAGCTATTTTATTAACTTACAGCTGCGATGACATAGAGTTCAGGTGGGAATTGTTATGAGAAGAATTTCATTTTTACATGCTATATATACATATATGTGTTTTTGGAAACTTTTTTTTTATTTCCCATTGAGAAAAATTAAATAATAGTGTTAATTTAAAGGTCTTTCATTCAAGCTAAATCACAAGATTTTTATAGAATTTCTCATCGGTTTAATTATTTTTTTGAGAATTTCAAAAAATCACAGTTTATATTTATATTTTAATTTACCCTGCATATAATTAAAATTATACATAGATAATTATGAAGGCTCTATAATTTAAATAATTGCTTAAGTTCCATATTTTCTCTTTAAACACACATAAAAACTTACTCTCTTTTCCATTTGATGTGATGTGATACTCGTAAATATCTTGCCAACAAATATCCGGATACAAGACATAAACATTATTTTTAGGGCGCTTTGTGACACAAATCAATCAGGCAAGCTAACACTGGAGCAGTTTGCCTTGGCCATGTGGATGGTGGAACGTAAACAAAAGGGCATTGAGCCACCACAAGTACTGACAGCCAATATGGTACCACCGTCTATGCGTAGCACAGTCTCCGGCGTGGATTTGCAACCACAAGTAAACTGCTTGACAAAAAATTTTTTAGTTTCTATTTGTACATGAGTATTTTGCCTCGCCAGGAACCAAAGCCGACATATTCTAATCCAGAGCTAGAAATGATTTCTAAGGAAATCGAAGAGCTTGCTAAAGAGCGGCGCGCTTTGGAAACAGAAATCGCACAGAAAGAAGCAGATATACGCATTAAATCCGGAGAAGTCCGTAGCTTACAGGTTAGATATATGTGGAAAAATATAATTTAACTCCTTTGAAAATGCAATTTTAATTTCAGAGTGAATTAGATACATTGTCTGCTACACTAAAACAGTTGGAGAATCAACGTGGTGAAGCACAAAAACGCTTAGATGATTTACAAGCGCAGGCAAGTACTCATTTTGTTTCAGAA